GGGGCGGGCCGCAGAGGCTGGGAGGCCGAGGACGTAAATGGAAAAATTCTTAAGGAGTACCAAATTAAAGAAATCCAAACCCACCGCATCTGCGTGTCACCATTTAAAGGCAGCTGACTTGCCTAAAGGTGAATGAAGGCAGGGTCTTGCAGGGTAGGGCTGCAGAAGCATAGTTTTCTGTGAAGAACCATAGCTCTGCTGAACTCATATGCATTTCCTTCACAGACAGGTGCTGGGACATGGGCTCTGGGTGGACGTCTTGTGCCTTAAAACCCCTGGGGCCTAAGCTTTCCAGAACAGTGGGCATAGGTCAGAGGAGTTAGGGGTTGTCATGGAGAGAAAGCCGCTGAGGAAGGCTTGTGCCAAAATGCCAGGCTTTCCCACTGCTTCGGGGGGGAACGAAACCCTTCTTGCGGATGTGCTTTATTTAGCCAAGTTTACCTCAGTCAAGAGCCCTCAGAGTTTCGTGGCACTGTGACTGGAGTGATGGGAGAAGCCTGGCCTGGATGTGCATCTTCCAGCTGTGTGCCCTGGCCGCCGCTTTCTCTCTCCTTCCTAACCCAGGGTTGGTCTCTGCAGCTGATGGCTCCAGGCCTGGTGTGGCCAATAGCCTGCGGGAGGCCCGTGGAAATCACCAGTAGGGGGCAGCCCAACATGCTCCTTAATCTGCTGGTTCCTGTCCGGGGCTCTGGGGCTGGGAGCAGAAGGCTGTCAGAATGCCTTTTTGGTGGTCCAGGGAACCATGAACTTGAGCCCAGGGGTATGTGACCACCTCCTAACCCCAAAGTCCTGGGGTCCAGCCTCCCTGCAGTCACTTCACTTGTGTGCCTTTCTCTGTCTCTGTCTTTTTCCATTCCTCTCTCCTTCCCTCCCTTCCTCCCTCCCTCCCTTTTTTCCTTCTTCCCTTCCCCTTCTTTCTTTTTTCTTCCTAAGTTTAAAAATTTCAAAAAAACACAACAACATAAAAATACTTCATGTACTTATATTCGGAACTAGCATGCTAGCATTTTTGTCTTTTTTTGTTACAAGTCTTTTTTAATAAGAGAAATCGTTTTCTAGTTTAATAAGATAAATAAAGTTTCTTTATCCCAGACCCATCCTCCTTTCCCCAGGTGGCCTTCCTGCGGTCTTCTTTTTATGCTTTACAAATATCCTTGACTGTGAGCATTATGCGGTGTTGTTTTCTGTGTATTTTTAAAAGTTCACATAAATTGTTACATATATATGTACATATCAGCGTGGAATTTTGCTTATATAGTCTTCTCACTTAGCGTGAAGATGTCATCCTAATCACATACAAAGATCTGGTTTAATTCAGGTTTAAGCACTATTTTTTCTGTTTCTTTTAAAAAATTTTTAAGTTTTAATTCCAGTGTCATTAACATACAATGTAATATTAATTTCAAGCACACAACATAGTGGTTCAACATTTCCATACATCACCCATGCTCATCATGACAGGTGAACTCCTTAATCCCCATCACCTATTTCCCTCATCCCCCTCCCACCTCCCCTCTGGTTTCTTTTTTTTTTTTTAAGATTTTTTATTTATTTAACTAATCTCTACACCCATCATGGGGCTTGAACTCCCAACCCCGAGAGCAAGAGTTGCATGCTCTTCCAACTGAGCCAGCCAGGCGCCCCCTCTGTTTCTTAATCGATGGACACTTAGGTTGTTTCTGACTTCGAATTCTGACTGTATTACAGTGAATATTCTTGTATATGTCTCTGTGTGTACATGTGTAAGATTTTTCTCAGGTAAATATCTGGAAACGGGATTCTTGGGTTGTAAAGTGTGCTGATGTATCATTTGCCAGGATAAACTGCTCGTCAAAGTGATTGTACTAATTTACACTCCCTCCAACAGTGTAAGAGAAATCCCCCACATCCTTGCAAATGGTTTACATTGTCAGACTTTAAACATGTTGTCCATCTAGTGGGAGAGGAGTGGTATGTCCTTGTTTTAATTTGCACTTCAGATTTCTTGTGGGGTGAGCAGTTTTTCATCTGTTTCTTGGCCACTGAAGTTTTCCTTCTGTGGATCGTCTGTTATTACCTGTACTAGTTTCCATTCTAACCCTGTGATTCCTCACTTCATGGTAGCTCAGGAAACTTTCTTGGGAGTGGGGGTAGAATCGATGAGCAGTTTATAGCCAGCAGCTATATTGTGAGTAGGTCTGCAGATGGTAACTTACGAGGGGCAGTTCTTGGCAGCTGGAGTGCACTTGCGTGTCTTTTATAATCCAGCTCTTCTGTTCGTTTTTCCATTCTGACTAGGAGAAACATTCATGATTTATCCAGGGCATTCCTGCCTCCACAGTGGAAAAGTATTCTCTAGTGACCATTTTTCATAATTTCACATGGTTCTTTTGATGGTTTTCAGCACAATCTCCTGTCTGGTCTTAGATCCAGGAACTGTTACGCTTTGCCTAACGTCTGACATATTTTCATCTTGTGAACACTGTGAATTTACCACCGATGAAATTTATCTCCTTTTCCTTCTTTTCTAGAGTGTCGGTGACTGGAAGGCTTAAAATTAAGCCTGTTACTCTTTATCTCTGCCCCCCTTTTTTCCTTCTATGTCCTCCATTCTAATTTGTGTTAGCTCATTGTATTTTATTGAATACAACTGGGGAGTTTATCAATTAAAAATCTGATGAAAATGAAATAAAAAAAAGGCCGCCAAAAACTAAAAGAAAAGTTAAAGATAAATGCTTTGTGCCACAGCAGTTGACTAAGTACCTGTTGAATATCAGGCCCCTTCATAAGCATGGAGGATACAGTGACGATCTCACCCAGAGAGCTGAAAAATTCTTAGATGATTTCAGAACAGTGACAGACACCACGCTAGCTCAGCTATAAGGTAGGAACAGACTTCTCTGGAAGTCCTGGCTATGACTGCAAAGGAAAACTTGTCCATGCTATCTGCCCTTTTTGCTGCCAGTTACATGAAAAAGGCATTGATATTTAGGGGTCTCTGGAATGAAGTTCTTATTGGGAGATAATTTGGAAGAGGGTGGTCACTATGGTCTCTTTTGAAAATGTTAGTGGAATAATTTAATCTAAAGTTTGATTTAAAATCTTGATGTTGAAAGTTGTTTGAGCATTAGGCTGGAGTCTTAAAAGTGTTTCCTTCCAGTGTAGTAGAAGGAGAGCAGGGAATGAATCCTTCCTGTGCATCTATTAAGTGCCAGGCCCTGGATATCAGGGAGAACCAAGATCTTCGAGCAGAAGATGCCTCCTTCTATCTTGGAAGTTGCTTTTCTTTTTCTTTTCTTTTCTTTTTATGAAACAGAGAACAGTGTTTATGTGGATCCTTTGAAAATTATTTTTGTTTGGTGTGATTTTGCTTTCTCAGAGCATTTCCTTATTTTACTTTATTTCTAAAATTTATTTTCTAAAAATAGATGCCCCAACTCTTACCCTGTATCTTGACATCTGTTTTTCCTTTTATGGATTGTGTAGAAGAAGGGACCTATAGATGCTGTATCTTCTCCCCCACTGGTTACTGTTTTTCATTTTAACTCACAGTGGTACGAGCAGGGCTACATATTTGTTTTCAAGTGTCTTAATTGGGATATGTTACATATCTTAAAATTTTTTTTTGAAAAAGAGAGGGGAAGACCCATCCTGACACAAGTTCTTATAGTGCCTTTGGAACTTCAGTTGTTGCCCATCCGTGGATGTCCATCCATCCATCTATCCATCTGTCCATCCACCCACCCACCCATCCACCCATCCACCCATCTATCTACCCTTTATCCTTTGAATACCTGCCTTGTGCAAGGTACTTTGCTAGATGCTGTGGTGTCATTAAGAGTTATAGAACAGGATCCAGCTGTCTTCAAAGAGGTTATGACCTAAGAAAAATGAATAGACAGCTACTTGAATAACTGTAGCACAAGGGTAGTCCATGGTGGTCGGTTTAATAGCTTTGTGTTTGTATTACTAGGGATTTTATTGGTTGGAAGTGACAGAAATTCAGATCAAAGTTCCGTTAGTGACATCTGACCTCAGAGATATCTGGATCCAAGGGCTCAAGTGGCATTTTTCAGGTCCTCTCTCTTGTTATATCTCATAGCTCTTTTTCCTTCTGTGTGCTGACTTCATTATTAGACAGTCTCTTTCCTCGTGGCAGAGAAACTTCTCATGGAGGCCCCCCTGGGACTGTACAATCTTTCTACTAGGATCCCAGGGAAAGAGTCTCTTTCTGTCCCAGCATCATCTATTCAGTTTTAGGGAAGATTTTCACTGGTCTGGTTGAGGCCACATGAACATCTCTAAGCCAAGCATCATGGCCAAGGGGATGGAGTCCTGTCGCCACTTTCCTCCTGTACTTGAGGGTCTGGCGGGTGGGGAAAAGGAGGGTTCCTGCAGCACCTAGGACCATGTGGGCTTTGTGAATGTGGTTCCTGAAAGGAGATATTGATAGTAGTGCTGACCAAGGCAGAAAAAGGGGATCCTGGGCCCGGAAAAGAGGGAGTAGGAAGAAAGGAAGGGAGTGGAGGAGGGAGGGAAAGGGGAGGAGAATTGGCGTCAGTGTTTTAGGAGGTAAAAAGAAGGACTGACTGGTTGTCCTGGCGTGTAGGGAAAGATGTAATCTGTCTTGCGTGTGATGATGCCAGCATCCCTGGGGCTGTCACCATAAGGAGGAAACACTTTTGGGAGGTAGCGGATGCATTTCCAGGTTGTTTTCCCCTCTGTACACAGGGGAAACCTTGAAAGGGAAGGCAGGCTGAATTTGTTAGTTGGAAGTGATAAAGGATTAAGAAAAAAAGGAAACTCGGTGAACCTGTCGTTGACCTCGAAACCTGCTCAATCATGGTTTCTTCTCAGTCACATTCAGCTTTCCTCCTCTTCTGTATTTTAAGGAAATGGGTGGGGCTCGGGTGGGTGCAGAGGGCTCGCCGCCCTGGTGACGTAGGACGGATGCTACCACTTCTTTTCATGTACCGTCTGCATTCGGAGTGACTGGTTTTCCCCCTCCGCGCTTTTTGCAGCTACATCGCCAATCAGAAAAGGTTGGAAATCATCAACGAAGATGACGTTGAAGCTTATGCAGGACTGAAAAATCTGTAAGTACTCCGGACTGGCGTACCTTATCTCAGAACTTTTTCTTATGCTCTGTTATAGTCAAGCAGGCATTAACCAGTTCGTTGCAATTATGTGTTTTCTTAGGACAATCGTGGATTCTGGATTAAAATTTGTGGCTCATAAAGCGTTTCTGAAAAACAGCAACTTACAGCACATGTAAGTAAAGTTTGATTCTTTTGCTTCCCGGGACCCAATGTATTCAATATTTTTCTTCTCTCTTTTCCAAGACTCAACCTCTTTTTTTTTTTTTTAAGTTAGCATAGATGTGACAATAGCTTAGAAATGTTAGCTTTGATTTTTGAATAGCTTCAGAGGGGTACTTAGAACAGCCTGTGTATTCCCTTTCATGGATTTCTGGGCCATTTCCATCTTGGATGGAACAGTAGGCCAACGGCAGAGTCTGACGTGAAAACTATGTCCTGGTACACGGTCCTTGATTCTTTTCCTTGGAATCATGACATGTTCCCTGGAAGACATCAAACTAGTGGAATTGAAAGAAACTGACTTGGCCTTGGCCTTTTTAGGGAACTAAAAATTACCAACACTCCCCCCACCCCCATAGATCCTCTTTTGAAAGTTCATTTTCTCAAAGCTACCTGTCGTGGTTGATAAAAGTGGGGAAAAATCGATCATGGGACCCGCCGAAGGTTCAGACGATTATAAAATAGCAAGTGTTTGCACCAAAGTCACGTTGATGCTTTGTCAACTAAGTCAGCTGGAAATATGGACAGTGGGATCCCTCAGGGTGTTCGCTGCTAGGTCCTGTCAGATGAGGGCCTGTCGTCCAAAAGGTATGGCCTTCCTGGGAAGTTTCTTCATTCAACAGAGGCTCACCTGCCCCTCAGCTCAGATTGGTGTTCCCCTAAGCCCTAGAGTGTTCAGCGGAGGCACGTTGCCTGCATTCGTTGGCTTTTGGGTGCTTTGCAAATTCTCTGTAATGATGCTTTGTGTCTCCTCATCTACAGTTTACCTGTGGAATTTTCTGACAGTTGTCAGGGAAGATCTTTTTGGTTCCCATTTCAGGGACATAAAACCAGACTGAGGAAGTTCGAAGATTCGCTCAGGTCCACAAATGGAAAGTGACAAGAGTTATGACTCCAGGGCCCACCCCTGGCTAAGCTCTTATAGTAAGAGCACGGGAAATAAAATCTATGCCATCCATATAATTATTAGAGAACCGGCCCTTCTTATAATATTTGTCCTCTTTCTTTTCTTGGGGAGAACAGCTCCCCAGAGGATTTCCATGCCAGTTGTAAAAGAAAATCATTCTCTCGGAGCAGGTCTCCTGGACACTCTACAGAGATTTGTTGATTTTATGAAAAGCCTTTTTTTGCTAAAGCCAGTTTCATGACTTCGTATTTTATAGGTGGCATTAATGATGAAGTCTATTTAAAAATAATGTCTGTAGAATGAAGATACAAGACATTCAGCAAAAATGTGATAAAACTCCACGGAACTGAATTAACACATTTCATTTAAATGCTTCTCTGGCGTCATCTCTGTGGTTGGCTTGCCTACACAAATCTGATGTCTGTGTAGGTCTTGAGGGCATGAACAAGAGAGAAGTCGGAGAGGAAAAAAAGTCAAAATGCTCTAAAGCCATCGCTTAAATGTAATTAATGACCTCAGTGGTTAAGTTCTGGTATTTTCATTACAGCTAACATTCTACCTGAGTTACTCTCCTGACCCCATTTTATTGGCTCTTTTACCCCATCACTTCCCCTAACGATGTGATGTGTACAGTGGGCTATGGTTAATTGTCATTTTAGTAATTAATGTATTTATTTATAAGGGGACTTATTCATAAAGGGCTTACTCTACCTCTTCATACTTTCCCTTCCTGCCTGTTGCATGCCATTTATAGGAAAACCAAAGCCACCTGGTGTATCTTTTCAGGGTGCTATATGGTAGAATAATTTTATTGGCATTCTATGTGCTGTCAACAACTTATATAAAACCAACTATCTATCCCTGTCTCCCAAAGAGGTATCATTTGAGAGTGGAAAACCAAAGAGATGGACATACCTTAGAGAGTTTCTTTAAAAGGCAGTAGCCGGGAAGCCAGGTCATTGGTCAAGCAGCAAAAACTCTATTGACATTTGTAGGCATGATCAAATATTAAGACAGAACAAAGTTAGACGGTATTTAGCAGCCATAAGACCAGTAAGCTTCCTATACAGTGTTCATGGATGAAAGAGGCTCCTAATCACCAGAATTAAATTAAATTAAGCAGTTGGCTTTGAGAATGGCAGGGAGAGAGGAGGGAGCAAATCAGGTGTCTGCCTTTGCAGACCTGAGTCCCAACCTCTGCTAATGACTGAGGACTTGGGCACTGGCTTGTTTTTCCTGATTTCCTGCAGTTACCTCGGATATTGACACTGGATACCAGGGAGCGGAAAAAGAAACGTGCATTAGAAGCTGTTCCTCTTTACTCCGGGGGTACACCGATTATCTCCGAGCCTCCCCAACAATATAACAATGTGCTCAAGAGCAATCTATTTCACTTCGGCTTTGAGGGAGATTCAGATTGGATCCTGCCTCACCGCCCCTCCCTCTGCCCTGGGCATATTCAACATCACATGCGGCCTGTCCACCGCCCCTGTGGCTGGTCACTGAGTTTATTTCTTGGTCCCTTTAATTCCTCCCCAGCATCTGAGAACCCAGGGGTTCTGAGAAAAGCCAGTGTTTGTATTTTCCAGGGGCTTTGCAGAGGTGCTAATTAGTTCCTTTGCAGAGTTCTGTCATCAAACAGTAAGAGGATTGTTGACTTTTCTTCCTCCCCTCCCCCTCTTTTTTGGCTTTTGGCCCCAATAATAAGTATGGTTCATAAAACTCATCTTGTTCTTCGGCGTGTGATCCCACTCCGGGCTGTGCGGCTGGCAGCCGGACAGGACCAGCTGCTGCTGGTGCCGGCCCGGGGCTTCGCCGCTGACCAAGACCTTGACCAAGAGTGTCCTCATTCTTTGCCCCCTCTCTCCTGGTTCTTCTCGGGAGGAAGAGTCCTGGTTTTGTTTGTGTTTCCTTCAGAGGGTGGGGGTTTCTGAAGATGCCTGGAGAACAGGGGCAGACTGACTTTTCAATGTGTGATACTCCAATGAAGCTCATTCTTAATTCACGTTCCGAAAGAAAAGAGAAAAGATGTATGTGGGCACATTTTACAACTTCCCGGGGGATTATTTTTTCATGTGGGTGAGCACTTTACGCTCAGTGTAAAGACAGAAGAAGTAAGTGTCGAAGGAAGAGGGAACCCTTGTGTAGGTAGGGGTTTGGGTGAGTGGAACTCTCCATATAGAAGGAGGCGGGGCGAGGACACACGCAGTCTCGAATCGGGGGGCCCTGGAGCAGCATTTTCTGTATTCGTCACGTGACCAGCCTTGGCTCATACATTAGCTCCTGGGCCCCTCTCTGAGGGGTGACTGGTCAGACATAGTGGGATGTCTGAGCAACCGTGAGTTTGTTGGGCTGACTCAGCAGACTAGCCTCGGGGAAGGGGCCCGGATTCCTGTGACCCTCAGGTGTCCGATTTTTCCCTCCCCGTTAGCACTTGCGTTCCCGAGCAGGAAACAGATCCTAAAAGGCTCATTGCAATTTGTTGAGGGCTTGGCTGTTTTTGTCCAAGTTGATGTTTGTTTTACATTCCTGCTAGTTATTAAACACATGTCTGGAGGCCCAAGCGTTGGACACTTTTTGAATAAATTCAACCAGTAAACACATTCACGGAACAAGTCAGCTGCCGGGATTATAGCTCTGAATTTTCCAACTCAAGGCCTCATGGCCCTGATCATCAGACATGGAAACTCCTGCCCACTGAATAAAACTAAGTATTCAGAACACATCAGTAGATTCATTGGTATTTTTTCAATCACAAATATGACTTGGTTTCATTGACTTTTCACCGTCTTGTTGGTCCAGATCTTTTTTTTTTAAGATTTTATTTATTTACTTGACAGAGAGAAGGAGCAGGGGGGAGGGGGAGTGGGAGAAGGAGAAGCAGACTCCCCAATGAGCAGGGAGCCTGGTGCAGGACTCGATCCCAGGACCCTGAGATCATGGCCTGAGCTGAAGTCAGATGCTTAACTGGCTGAGCCACCCAGGTGCCCCAAAGTCACTGGTTGGTCCAGATCTTAAAATGATACATTGCTAGGATAGTTTCAGATGAAATCTGACATAGTCCTTGTTTTCTGATATTTTGTTGTTCTTGTCCTCATCATGGAATTATCTGGTTATTTAGAACTCATATATAAACAATGCCCACCAGAGTTATCAATCAGTGGGTGTATTCTTTCCTATAAGGATGTGTTGAATTCAGTTTATATTCAGAGTTTTATGTGTCACGTAATTTCAAAATATTCATAATGCTGTTTCGTTTTAAAGCATCTTTTTCCCTAGTGAGTTTTATGATTTTAGATTAGATTAATTCTTCCTCTTAATTGTTTGGAGGTCAGAGATCTCTAGGAGGTATATAACTTGCCTCTGAATCAGCATATGAAAAATAAACTTTTGGTTAAGAAAGAGATTAAAAATAGACGTTTTGGAAATTATGCCTGCCCCTCCCCTTCTCTTATGAACAAGAATTTTAGGAGAGGCAGGAAAAACTAAGTTGTCATTCCAGATGGAAGAAAGAGACTATGTCGAAGGAAAGCATGAACCATGATCAAATAAAATTATATTTTGAAAAAAAAAACCTCTATTTGCATACTTTCTTCTTGAGATGTTACATTTTTAATTCACATTTAATGTTTTTGGTTTCTTTCAGCAATTTTACCCGAAATAAACTGATGAGCTTGTCTAGGAAACATTTTCGTCACCTTGACTTGTCTGAGCTGTAAGTAATGATTATTGTCTGGCATTCAGGGAAACAGTTTCAGAGGAAAGAGTAATTAGTATTTTTTTTTTTTAAATGAGTGATGCTGCAGATCTATTTTTATATCAAAATTCTTAAAAAAATGATTTCTCAGGCTTTGGCCACTTGTTTTTTTTATTCCCTCATAAGAACATGATTAAGTAACCAAAACCCAGAAATCTCAACAGTGAGGTATCATTTAGGATGATTTTAAATGTTGTTTTTACGTAAAGATTTGTTTTCTAAAGGAGGGAAAGCAGAAAAAGATGGGGGGGGAGCTTTATGTTATAAGGGCAACATGTCTCATAGCGTTGGTCATGTCTAGGGCCTAATGGAAAGCAGAGCCAGTCAAGGAGGAAATAGCCATGGGCGGAACTCCCTGGCGTCCACGGGTGCTTGGTGAACGTTGGAGGAGAGGTCGTCTTTCTCCCTCCCTGCCCATCCTTGTGAGATTCTCTTCTGGGTCTGCCACTGCACTCAGGATTTATCCTGATGCTCTAATTTCCTTTGCTGCAAAATGATAGGAAAAAGATCGCCATGTGTTAAATGACTGAGCCACCGTTTCCGGGCATGCTCCATTCTTGCGCTAACTGTTGACATTCCTATGGGTAAGTTGCCCAAAGAAGCCCAAGGCAGAGGCTCAGTGTGTCAGCGGGGGGGCCCAGATGGACAAGGCCTTTGAACACCAGGCTGTAGCTTTTGCTCACACTGTATATATTGTCTGAGTTGAAGGGTCTTCCCCTGCTTGCGAGGAAAAGGTGCAGGTAGGTCTTAACGAGGGTTGCCTGGCTGAGTGTCGGCGATGGGCAGTATTTTGGAATACACTCAATTCCCCGGGCTTGAAGTGGTAAGCTTTCTAACCCAGGAATGGGCACATAAAATTTAAGGAAGATATGAAACAGGGCGAGAGATGCCCAATATGAACCTTTTGAGCATCACTGCGGAACATTTTCTTGACGGGTCGGAAATCAGAGTTCTGACTCCAAATCCACAGGCCTCTGATTTCTCCTGGCAGCAGATTTAATCAAATCACTCAGCAAATGTTAATTGTGTGCCTGGTTGCGAATCAGACTCATGCATTGGGCCGTGGGGACGTAAGGAGGACACTCTCTGTGTTTCAGGATTCTGCTATCTAGTGGGAGAGCTAGAAGCCTAAAGGAACGAGGGTCAGGTGCTGTAGCAATCACTGGAAGAGGGGTTTGCCCATGAACTGAAGAAAGGAGCCAGCTCTCTGCCAGTGTGGTGTGCTCATGTGAACATTGCTATAGTTAGAGCTGAAGATCCTTCGCTTCTTTATCCCTTCTGTGGGTTCGGTCATGCCTCCGTTTTTGAGAGATTCTTTAGTTTTTCATGTACTTAGAATGCCAGGAAACCTCTTGCAGTAGTTGGAGTTGATGCACTGTGGATCTCTTCTGCCTTAGACTCTGTATCTAGGGGCATCACGTTCTATTTTGTTGTTGGAGGGATACTTGGAGGCGATCAAGCAGACACAAATTAAACGAGGCTGCCATGACCACATTTTCCCCAAAGAGACTCCTGGAAGAGTCTCCAGGGATCCCAGAGATTCTTCGAACCCAACCAGAAAACCACAGGAGTAAATGATGTTGCAAAGCCCAGGTTCTGTCCTCAAGGAAATCTTAAGTATTGTGGTTAATGCCGGGCAGAGCCTATGTAACGATTGTAAATGGCCTCATTTAAAGGCTCATTACCATAAATGGAATTCATCTTAAATAGGCCACTGAGTATTATAAATAAGCATTTAAAGATTTTTTTTTCTTGTGGTTTTTATTTTCCTCTTGACTACTTCCTTCGTTACCAGTTGCAGGCCATGGGAGTCCAGGCAGCTCAGCTGATGGGTGGCTTTCTCTTTGCAGACCCTCCTGCCGGGGGCTGAGTGGCTCCATTTGGAGCTCGCTTGCTCTTGCTCTCAGAAACCCTGAGCTTGGGTGTGTGAAGGAGGTCTCAGAGTTCCCTTCCAGGCTCTCTTCACATTTACTCCAACTTTCTTGCATCGGTCCCGCTGAACAGTGGTTGCCCTGTGCAGAAAGCTGGTACCACCTTACTGGCCCTCACATTTCAGCCTTCCCTTTGTATTTACGGTCTCATTGTAGAGTCAGATGAAATCGCTTTGCTCTCTGCTGTGGTTTGAGCTTATTAAGTGATAACACTTGAATCTCTAGCCTGGTCAGAGATAAGTATGTTAGTGTTCCTGATAACTTAACTATTGGCATCTTCACTGAAGATCTTAATTACTATATAATGGCCGTGGTAAATTTGTTATGGCATCTGATTTTTCCCCATCCTATGAGACATCCTTTTCTAGCCTCTATTATAGTTCTGCCTGTTCCTGTCTTGTTTCCCCATTATTCTGAAAGGTCTTGCATCACTCTGCATCCTTTAGAGTCCACGGTGGTGTTTGCACCTAGCGGAAGATCAGTAAGTATTAGATAAATGAATGAATAAGTATTGTAAAGCTATAAAGGTGGGTATGACTTCCGAAGATTGCTGGCCAGATAGAATTCATAATGTTGTAGTGCTTTGTAAACACTAGCGTAGTTAACACCGAAAAAGAGAAGCCTGACCGGGTTTCATTTTTGTTCCGTGTAGGATCCTGGTGGGCAATCCATTTACATGCTCCTGTGACATTATGTGGATCAAGACTCTTCAGGAGACTAAATCCAGCCCAGAAACTCAGGATTTGTACTGCCTAAATGAAAACAGCAAGAATATTCCCCTGGCAAACCTGCAGATACCTAATTGTGGTAATTTACATTCGAATCAATGAATTCTATTTGCTATTAATTATTCTAACTGCCTTGGTGTAGTAGAGAGTCCGGGAGGATTATCACTACCCAGATTTTATATAGTATGCTGTTGAGGTCTCTGGTGAGCTGGGCAACGTTTGTGTGCAGTGTGGAGAAGTCAGCTGGGAGCAACTTTGCTGAATATTTTTTGCAAGTAGAATATTAATTCTGAATGGATGACTTTGAAGCCCATGGAGAAAAAGTAGGCTGTTTATTCCGTTGTTTCTTTGTTCATTTGTCTGGTCACGCATTCCTCTATCCATTTATCCATCCATCCAAAAACTATGTGCCAAGAGTGTGATACTTCGTTGGCCACGTTACATACGTGGTTGGCACCTGGAAAATGGAGAGGGAAGGATCTTGCTGTGGTAAAGTGTCCTCAACAGTACAAGAAAATGCACTTTGATCCAGCACATTCCCTTCAACTTGTCTTGCTGCCAGAGGGCTGTGTCTCATGATGGGGCGTTATGAATATGCCCTTACACATGCTTTTCCATGTTTGGGTTTCTAGGCCCCTGCTCAGCCTTGCCCCCACTCCTCCTCAGCATTTGCATCTCCAGAGTCCTACAAAGTCCCATCTCTCTGAGAGCCACTGTGTTTACAGGGAAGGAAAACCCGAGTGTTCTGGTTCAGAATTTACTGCTCAGGGCATCTGGGATGTGCCTTGGCAGTCCCCACCTAGGCTGAGGTCAACCCGCTAATCAGCTCAGTTATATTTGATCTTCTGGCCTAGTGGCTGGCGACACAGCAGAAGCTGCTCGTCTGTGAGGAGTCTGTCTATGAACTGCAGACATTCGATTCTTCGTTTTCAGAAGACCCTATTGTTTGAGGTCAGTTTTTCTTGAAGGAAAACAGAGCTGCTGCTCATTTTTAATGAGAATGTCATAAAAAGAAAGATAAGGATTTGCTTTTTACCCTGAAGGGGCTCATGAGAGAGCAGTTACTCTTCCCACAGATTTCTCTGTCCTCGAGCCCTTTGGCTTCCTAACAGAGAAATCAGGCTTTGTTCTCTTGCCAACTTCTCTCGCTTTGCTAGCCAACACTTAAAAAAAAAACCCAACTTTTAATATATATCTTTTCCTGATTGATACGAGGGCGACTGTGCTCTGTTCTGGTACAAATTTGCACCACTGAGAGAAATCACCTGGAGGGACAAGAAATTCAGTGTTGAGTCACCTGGCCTTTTGGCCAGCTTGCCAAGTCCATGGTGTTGTGACCATATTGGTTCAGCAACCACTGAGAGGAAGAAAGAGAGAGCATCGAGCTCCTGCTCTTATTCCACGAACGGCCCCGTAAGATAGACGTCTGTGTTGCCCTTGCCTGAAACCGATTTTCCTTCTTCTTCTTTTTTTTTTTTTAATTTTAATTTTTGGCCATGTTGTCTTGACAGCTTTCAGTGATGCACCCCACCTAATGTGTTGTGTGAGACCATTGCAGTTGGGGAGGGAAAGAGTGGGAGGGAACTGGTCCTCATTTTTCCTGATGCATTTGTCAGTTTTTAGTAATTTTTTGTTTGCTACAAATTAGTCAGTGAATCTTGTGAATGAGGGAACTTGGAGAATTCACTGTCCTGATTCAGAGGGAATGCGTTGGATTGCTCCATGAGGATGGTTACGTTCGTGGTAACATTCATAATTGGTTTCAGTGTAGATGATGTTTTTCAAAAAGCAACATTGTAAAAAAGGTGAATGGATAGACTTATTTCTCTACCACTTTTGTACTCTGAAACTGTTATGTTGTTTGTCTGTTAATTTTTTTCTTTCCAAGTGTTTTTTACTTACTTGTAATTGCACAAGTAATGTTGATACATTTTGTGGTTAAAAAGAACCTCCTGTATTACACATCAAGTTTGTGTTTCTCTTGTTTGTAACCATTTCCGGTTAGTGGTTACAGATCTATAATATTCTTTTTAATCAGTGCATGCTATTCGTGGTAGACCCTGTCTTAATTACATTAAAATTTCCACATTGATGGGCATTTAGCTTATTTCCCATTTTTCGCCACTCCAGAAATGTTTTGACGAGCATCTTTTCATGTGCTCTTTGTACCTGTGTACAGATGAAAAGGTTTTCCTAGAGTACATAGCAGGAAGCAGAAGTTTTGGCTGATATGGTTTGCACATTAAAAAACAGCTGTCCCAATTTATAGCCACTCCAGCAAAGCATGTCTTAATATTAGCACACTTCTTATTTGTTTATTTTTCTAAAAAATGGTAGGTCATTGCTTTTTGGTTCGCCTTTTCCTGGTGACTATTGGGTATCTTCTGTGTTTATGGGACATTGTGTTTATTCTTTGGTGGATTGCCTATTTATAACCTTTGTCTATTTTTCTATAGTGTTTTCCTTTTCCATTTTTAGTGTTTTTTTATTTAATTTTTAAAAAATTTTATTTTATTATGTTATGTTAGTCACCATACAGTACATCATTTAATTTTTTCTTGTTTGAAGGTTATAAATTACGTTTCTGTGTTTTTGGAAATATACCCAAATATTCACCACCCATATTAAAACATATTTTTCTTGTAAGTATCTAGAGATAGTTCCAAGACAGGAAAAAATAGTTTATTTCTTTTTACTTTTTCCTCCCGTCCCTCAGATTATTGTCAACTAGGATTTTGTTTGTAGATTGTTACTTGACTGTTTTGAAGATTTACTATTTCTTTGTATATATCATTAACTTTTGTATCCTACTGCCTTTTGGAGTGGCTCTTCTTTTTGCTGGTGTGTATCCTCTAATATTTCTTTCAGAGAAACTAAAAAACATAAAATCTTTAAGTCCTTGCCTGGTGGAAAATCAGACTGTATTTGTTCTCAGTGGAATTGGCTGAGTATGCATTTCTAGACTCGAATAAATTCCTTTTAGACCTTTGTAGGTATTGTATTACATTTTTCCTTGTATTCGGTGTTGCTGATGAGAAGCTTGAGGCCAGTCTTATGCTTGCTTCTTGACAGGGAACCTATGCTTTTCTTTTCCTTCTAGAAGCTTTGAAGATTTTCTCCTTTTCTGCGTTATTCTAAAATTTTTACTGCAACGTAACTAGGTGTGTGTGTGTGTGTGTGTGTGTGTGTGTTTTAAAAAAATTTGTTTGACATGCAGCCTACTCTTTCAGTATGAGGGGTTTTGTCTGCAGTTCTGGAAGAGTTTTCTAATTTATATAGATGATTGTTTACACTTAAGGGCTCTACCCTCTGTACCCCTCAGCCTCAGTAGCACTTTCCATCTGCTTGTCCTTTTGTGCTGTATTATGGGGAAATGGGTTGACCCACTCCTTTGGCCGTCAGCTATTTCTCCAGATACTGAATTTTTCCCTTTCAACACTCAGTTTCTAATTTCTGCAATCTCAAGTGATTGTTTTTATTTTTTTTTAATAACTGAGACACCCTTTCCTGTGTTGGGGTTCACCATATCTCTAGGGCGTCACCAGCACCTAGCAGTACTGATTTTTTCTGGTAAGGTTCCTGCACTCATTGCTTCTTGTTGGATGCTGTGTCTGCAGTGAGTGGGTAGGGACAGGATGTGAAAAGGCTATTTCTCCTGTTTTGTCTACTTATTTTCTGGACCAGTGGCCCCATGGCTCAGCCAAGGTGGGGCTCCACTCTGTCCTGCAGTCTGCTCCTTCAGTCTGGGGTCAGTCTAGAGCCTCCCTGTTTTGTGCAGTGAATACATATGTGTCCCTTTGGGGCTGTGCTGATTTTCTTTCATCCCACTCTCTCACTTTCTCTTGTTCAGGGGTTTCTCATGGTGTCTTATCCACTAGCAGTATGTTTTCTCATTTTCCAGCATGGTTCTGGAGTTTTAAAAAATTTTGCATAATATCTGGGGATTTGAGATCAGAAGGGGGGAAACTTCAGTTTAGGGCTTATTCTTATATTACTTCATCACAACAGTTTAGGCTCTTTAAAGGGAAGTTAGGCAAATTGAGCAGTAGATTTATACCAGGTAGTTGGATTTAAATTGTTTCTGAAAGTCCATACTAAAGAAATTGGATAATATGCTATACTGTTTTCAAATTAGATGTCTTGTTTAGAGCATGGATTTGTGGTTGGTTGGCTTTTCTTTTAGGTCTTGCCCTTTGTAGACTTTTAAAATATATATGTTGTATTTAATTACATCACGGATTCATGGAGCTCATCTTCACTTTTTTTTTTTTTTTTTGGATGCAACTTGTTAGCTAAGTGTATGAGTAACTCATAAGAGTACTGTATGGTCTTGTGTGTTTGTTTCGTCATTGTAAGCCAACCATTTGCCAATAACTATGGCTACTGCGTTAATTTGCAACTGGTAACATTTTAATTTCAATAAGAAAGAGCTACTGAGATTTCATTCCTTTATTAGGTGGGCTTTCTTTAAAAACTTCCCCTTTTAGTATTGTACATGTAAGTATTATATTAACGAACTCTCTACATTTTATAAACAAAAATACATCCTCCATGGTGTCAATGTATCCCTTGAATGTAATAGGCATTTGATTAATGTTTGCTGAATTCATCAATTAATAAATGCATGAGCCACACACGTTATAGTAGTGATCAGGTTGGACCAGATTTTTTTTTTAAGATTTTATTTATTTGAGAGCAAGTGAGCGAGCACAAGCAGGGGGGAGGGGCAGAGCGAGAAGCAGACTCCCCATCAAGCAGAGAGCCCGATGTGGGACTCGATCCCAAGCTTAAGGCAGACGCTTAACCAACTGAGCCACTCAGGCACCAGGTTGGACCAGATTTTTATACAATGGTGTAGATATTAAAGTTACGACAACTTAAAGATTTATATTATTCTAGCTAAATTATCCCATATATTAGCATTTTGTCGTTCCCTTTGAAATTTCTGTCATCATCCCATTTTGAAAGAGTCTCACGTTCCTTCTGCCCTTAGTGATTAAGTGAGTGTGGTTGGCGCGGCTGGGAAGTTTAATGGCCCTGTTACCATTTGCAGCCCGGTTAGAATGTCTCACAATATTT